TCAGTCCAGCTGCTGCTACTGTAAAGGATAATTTAAGGAAGGGTTATTTCAAAAAGGAGTGCAGAGCAGGTTCACTTGGCCAGCTCCATGGTGATTCCTCTGCTGGCCAGGTGGGCAGGTTTGCAGCCAGAACCAAGCAAGGAGAGGAGGAGGAGCCACTGCAAGTTTATGGAGTACGTTGGAGACCCTTGGAACCTTGGACCCCAAGGTCCAGCCCTGGGCATGTCAGAGTGAAGCTAATAGGATCTATGGGCTCTCCATCCATCCAGAAACCTGTCCCCCAGTATTAATATAAAGTGGCAACAAGATACAGTGTTTGAACACAGCACTCCTTTGATCCCCAAGAGAGAAAAGCCACTTGTGTCTGCTTCCTTAAGCTAATGCCAAACACTTCAACCAATTAACAGTAATTAAATAAGCTGGATGGGATTCAAAAACCAGATGGTGTGGTGTTCTGAAAACCTTTTCTATGTTACCAGGATGCAAATAAATAGCGAGAAAATATTCAGTTCCCAAAAGTCAGATAGAGACTTTGCAAAAACAACCTGTTGTTTGGCAATGGGAAGAATGTCTTTTATCTGAATCTGGGTTAGGAGACTAAGTCAGGGCTACTCCTAAATAACTGCATACAGTTCAGCTAATCCTGATTACTTTTAAGCTCTACTGTTCTCAGATGTTCATTTGATTGGTGTTTTGATTTGATTTTGTTTTGATTTTGTTTTTTATTTGTTTATTTTTGCTTAGGATCTGTCATTGATTTAAGGAATAGTTTCTTTTTTCACAAGCAAACATGTAACTTTAAGAGGCTTGCATTTACCTATAAAGGCACCATACAAAAGCATGGTCAGAGATTAGCGGGTATTCTGTCTGGGGGGCATCCTCCAGGGAGCTTGGCTTGGAAGCCAAGCCCTATCACTTGAGATACCTAAGGGGCTGCCCAGGCCAAATTAAGACTGTGGGCCAAAGACTCCACATTTCTGATAACAAAAGTTTGGAAACTTGGTAACAGAGGGCAGGCATTGTTGAAAGAACTGCTGCAATATTGCTCTATCATGGAGCACAGGGTTAAAGAAGGTAGACTAGCCATCAAGGAGCATTTGGAGTCAACTTATTTCCATGTATCTCCATTAGCTTCTCAAAAATGCTCTGGAGTCTTCTGCTGGGAGGGGCCAACTCTCTGATGGAGGCAGGGGAAAGGAGAAGTACAATCATGGACTAAGAAATTCAAGAATTTGCACAATCCAGATAGATCCAGGACCAATGAGATAATAAATACCTACACCAATGCTGCACAGGGGAAGAGTGTTTGTTGTTGTTGTTGTTGTTGTTGTTTTAAGCCTCTGTGCAGCCCTAGCTTCTCATCAGGGTCAAAGCCATAAGAAGGTATGTAGTTCCTACATGCTCTGACAACAGATAAGTAGGCAAGGGCTTTTGTAAACTATATTCTTCTGATTCGCAACTTGTGTGCTGTTTAATCAGGAGGCATAACATGCTGGCTTCCTGTGGACTGGCCTACAACTCTCTTCAGCTCTAGCAAGCTGAGTCAATGCTGGAGGGTAATGGGAACTGTAGATCAAAACATCTGAAGAACCTCAAATTGCCAACCCTAGTTTACATATCTGGAGTGAGCACAGCTTAATTCTGTACAGTTTCTTTTGAGTTCACACACATAAGATCATGCAAATTATAGATGTGACATCAAAGCAGCTTTTTCAAATGTCTGTTCAAAAGTAGTTGTCATGCTCCTTGCAAAATCAGGCTCATTTCCTTGTTTAGAATTGTATTCTATTTCCTTTTGAAACTTTAAGATCAATATTTTCCTTATTCCTTTACCAACAGCATTCTGTTTTTAAGATGTTTAATAAAATGGGTTTCCACCCACTCCACTGATTTGCTACTCCACTATATTTGGCCTACAAATCTAATTAGAAATTTGCACTTTGAACTAATAAAAGGCTATCATGTTCTCAGTCATTGATCTTTTTGATTTTCTGAACATGGGCATGGTTTGGATAATTCCAAAGCCCAAAGAGTAAGTGAACAAAGTGAAGGAAGGAAAGATCACCTAAAGTCTACATGTATTGATCAAATATTGCTATAAACAAGGCAGTAAAATACGTGAGACAGCTAAGTTTGACTGTGGTTGAGTATTGTCAGAGGGGAAGATTGTTCCTGGCTATTCGTTAAAGCTGCAGAAGTAAATCCCTAGCCCTCCAGATGTTTGACTCCATCAGTACCAGCAAGCAAAGCTAAAATGGCCAGGTCTTATGGGAACTGTTGTCCAACAGCCTCTGGATAACTACAGGTTTCTCATCCCTGGGTTAGAGAATGGCCTTCTCAGTGTGCTGAATCAAGGATGGAATTTCTCGACTTGGACAACACATAATTCATCATAGTCTTCTAGTAGTGGATTTTGGCCTATTCACATGGTATCAGGGGAAATAGGAACATAGGAAGCTGCCTTATATAGAGTCAGACCATGGTCCATGCAACCTAGTATTTTTCACACTGACTGGCAGTGGCTCTCCAGGGTTTCAGACACAAGTTTTTAAAGCCTTGCCTGCAGATCCTGGAGACTAAATTCAGGATCTTCTGTATGAAAGCCCATATCGTACCACTGAGTTACAGTCCCTCCCTTGGGACACAGGTACACTTAGTTTAAATGGTTAAGGGCTAACAAATGGGTCAACTTGCTGCAATACCAGGAACTGGCTGACCTCTGCTGTGCCATCTCTTGAGCATACAGCATCTGAAGGCAGCACTAGGAAGAAAAGCAGAAGGAATTAGAGTGGGCAACAGTCTGCTAGGCAGCTAGTGCTATTCGAGGCGATGGGTAGATGAGCCACTCCGTTAGCCTTCTCCTCCAGTTCTTCCTATCTCCTTTGTTTTTCACTTAATTGTTGTATTTCTCCCCACACTCGCTTTCTCTTTATTGCAATGTTATCTAAAGGTTGCTCGTCAGATAGCTGAAGGACAGGATGTCAGATTCAATGCTCCTTTAGTCTGTCACCACTGTTTGAAGGGCCTGGAGTCTGTAACAAAATGTCAAAGGCATTTTTGCAGCACATGGGAACCAGATGTGCTTGAAGATGGACTTTGGGGAGAAGAGGGCAACTGAAATGTGTAGATTTAATCTTCCCGGTCAAATGGACAGATAACATTTTTAATAGACTAAAACGACTGCCTGTCAATGTGACATGCAGGTCTGTTGTCTAGTGATCTCTAATGTCCATACTGAGCTTGGCTGGGACTAGTTCAGCCCCTCTTGATGGGATTCATATTCTTTGAGTGTGTCCCCAAATAAGTCGGACTACAGTCAGATCATACATTTTTTCCAGGAAAACACAGCTGTAATTTTAAATATCAATAATATTTTATTATGCCCTAATAAGTCTGCTAGAGAAAGGAATAAAAGTAAAATGGAAAGTGGCAGCTGATTAAGCCAGCAGGTAAAATGAGGGGGAATAGGATGTAATGGGATTGTTTGATGTGGATTTGGAAAAGTATTGCATAAAGGATTGGCAGAGATCAGCACTGCAAAACTCTTAGATTGTTGATTAATTTGAAGCATAATAAGGTATGTATTTAAGTCATTTGAAGGACCCTTTGAAATGTCTATTGCAAGCCTATAGTCTGAAGGGTTGCAGTGGTTGGTCCTAAAGGAGCAATGCATCATATATATTAGTAAGATGAAGTGGACTTAACTAAGTGCAAAACAATCTGAATTCTTCTTTGCACCAATCTTCCGCTACAGATGGTAGCTAATGCTATTCTGGGATCCAGTGATCTGGTTCTGTGTAGAGCTGGAATGAGTATTTAACATGAATTTTGTGTTGTATGAACTTGCAATCATGTTCATAAAGAACAGTATAGTTTTTAAGAGGCATTTCAGCAGTGTTTCTGCATCTTTCCTTCCTTTCCTTCCACTATTTAGATGTCTGTTACTTTTCCAAAGCCACAACTGTGTGCTCAACTAAACTATTTGAATTTAACTCAGCTTTAACTAGATAGTGGGAGAGAGGGGTGTGGGCAGAGTGGTGGTCATTTTCAAATGGTATCAACATTGAATTCCTAAATGAGATGGCTGCCTGTAGGAAATTATTCAGACACTGGACGAGGAATTATGAAGGCCCTAAAGGATTTTACGCTTTAGAAATAAAAATGTAGCTGGGCATGTTTATGAAACCAAATCTGCCCAAAGGGTATGTCTTTTGCATTGTGTAGTCCTGGGTTAAAGGATTTGCAGTTGTGTAGAGCTGCTGTCCGTGCAGATATTGAAGAAAATGGCTAGCATGAAAGAATTAATAATTATTAATGTTGACAGTTAAATAGTTCACACAGGCAGTGGCAATGAATCCTCTCACAGAGATGAAAAGGAGAGCTTGCATCACTTGGAGCTATTTTTCTAATCTCTCTAAAGTTGCAGAATGAAGAAAGAGTCCACATGCTGAGAATGGGAGGGAGCTTCTTGCTTTGAGTCATGTAGATATAGGGTTGTCCATATGAATTGCTTCCTTGCTATCTGAGGCAGGCAAAACCCTCAGTTTTGTTCAATATTCATACATAACTTTCTTGTAGGTACATCTATTCATGTACCTACAAAAAGAGCTACATGAGCAAAATTTCCAGTTGTACCTAGCATGACTGAGATAGACAAAATGGAGAAAGTGTATAGAATGTATGCCTTATCCTTAAAACAAGGCTATTTAAAATATGCAAAATGGGAACTCAGAATGAATCCTTTCTTTGAAAGCTTGGTTAGAATGTCTGGGGTAGCAGCCAACATTAATCCTACACAGAGCAGAACCACTGAAATGAATGGGACTCCAAAATATGACTCATTGAAATCTCATTCATGTTGGTGTGTCTACTCTACCTAGGTCTGATATCCGATATTAGCCTTACAGTCCTCCTTGCAACCATTCTAGAATAGTTTCCGACTGGAGATTACAAAGCGGACCATTCACTCTTTTTCTTGCTTTCTTCTCTTTACTCTATAGGCTGTTCAGTATTAAACCGGGACTAAGACAAGAGTATTAAATAAATACCCGGAACCACAGTATTAAGGTAAGACATTGCACTGCATTCCAATAGTTCTAATCAAGAGAGTACCCACTTAGGGCCGAAGTATGTAGAACCATTAGACCTGGAAGAGACCTCTTATCAAGTTGACCCACTGGCAATATAACTTTTCTTTGTTCATCCATGGTGCTAAATCTTCACACATCTGAAAGAGTCAACACTATTTATGTAGGGATTAGAGTTTCTGATGTACATTTGATAACTTTGAGGAAATACCTCAAGTCCTGAAATGAGCTAATCAAAATATGGGCAGCTTCATTTCTAAAGGCTCATGGAGTGTGTTGGTGAAAAGTCTTGGCACGAATGGCTTTTCTGAAAGTACTTTGAGTCAAATGTTGGTGGAGACCAAGGCTTTTCCTTCTTTGCTATCTGGGCAACAGCAAGCACAGCAAGGGAGCCAGAAGATAGCAGGCTCCCACTGTGGCAGTTTCTTTGTCTGCAGAGCATCACTCCCTCTGTTACCACCACCTTGGCAGAGACTCTGCTCTGCTGAGCAGATCAGCTGCAAAAGCATCCATTTACCCTCAAGTGAAATAATACAAGCAGCTGTAGAAAAAAGTTTAGACTGAGGCTTATAATAATGCATTATTACTTAAATAAGATCTCTCACCCATACCGGCAACTTCAGATAGCTCTTTGCCACTCAAGGTGTACTTTCACAAGGCTGGATCTACCAACCATAATGTGGAAATGAATAAATGACACTCTGTGCTTTTCAGCAGGTTTCTGAATTTGGAATTGGCAGTTCCGCACCATCTGTGATGTGGAGTGGTGCACAGCTCCAGCAAAGGCTGTTCTCAGCTGGACCCTTCAGGTCCAGTAGGTGTGCATGTATCTATGCAGAGCTTCATGAAGCTTGCATCTGTAATGCAAGTTGGCAAAAGAAGCTTGTATTAATGCAACAGGTCATAAATTGGGCAGCTTCTAGTGATGCAATGCTCACTAGCTGCAAAATAACACATACCTATCAAATCTGGGCAAAGGGGTAGACCAGATTATTTTAACAAAGAAACTAATGGCATGAACATCAACTATCTCAAAAATAAAGTGATGGTCAGGATTCCTAGGAATGAGTGAATTGCCTGTTGTTCAGACAATGGACCTGAGGAAGAAAGAAGTTTGTGGTGTGTATGTGTATAGTGTACCATACTACCTGGCTAGTCAAAGACTATAAGTCAGCAGCACTGAAAGTAACATCAGCCATGTTCACTAATGTGCTTGAAGGAATAAAATTATCTACAAATATACTGGTTTTTCCCAGGGATAATGAGAACCCAGTTGCAAACATGCATAAAGATCTTAAAGGACCTTCCTTAACGGCAGCAAATTTAAATTATCATATTGCTAGAAATATAATGATGCACTCTTCATATAAAGGGCCGGCTTGATGAAGTTTGCAAATAAGTATTATGGATAAAACAGCCAATTAGATCAATACCTCTCTACTTCTGTTGGTAAGGTATGGATTTAGATGCATCCCTGAGGAATAACAATTGTGAGCTTTTTACCTCAGCTGAAGAATCAATAATATAATCCACATATTCATTATATTTCTATGATAAATATAAAATGAGAAGTGGGCTGGTTCATCTGCCTCAGGGCAATCTTCCTATGAAATGATAATTTTGGTAGCAATCTGATTTAAACTTGCCTGATAGTAAGTAACTTACCTATATTCAGTGAGTATCATTGAATGTATTGGGAGAGTTAGTAGGATAGGATTGTGCTGTTGAGACAGCTGTTCACAAAGATACCATCTATTAAGGAAAAGGACCACTGGTGTTTTATAATATGGATTCCATGCCTGTAAGTCTCCCTGAATTAAGTAGTGCTTCATACTATAAGAAACCAAGCATAAGATAATGGCATGAGTTCTTGTTTGTCAGCATGGATGAATAAGGCTTTCTGGCTGAACTTTCCTCATTTCCAGTTACAAAACCTCACAAGACTTATGCTAATTATAAACAGATTCTGTTCCCTGGATGAGAAAAGGAAAGTACTCCACTTAAGGAAGTATGTACATTTTGTTCAACTGGATGTTGTAATTAAATATCTGAACAAGAGGCAGGGGGAGTGAAGGACTCTGCCCATTTTATCCAACTTAGTGTGTTCTTCAGATGTGTTAGCCTATTATTCCCATCATCCACAGTGAGTGCGGCTATTGGTTATACCTGGTATATGTGTATGAGTTCAATTTAGGTAGAAGGCACTGCCATTATGGAGAAGGGCTGAAAAAGTAAACTGGTTAATAGCGATGAGAATCATAAGCAAGTGAATTAGATGGTTTGCGAAGATGGTCCTCATGGTCAAATGATGGCATAAAGATGCTGTCAAGATTTTTAAAAATAGTTAAAGAGGAAAGTCCCAGCTAGTCTTTCCTAGATCCTCTGCCACCTGCTAACCTACCTGTCCTCCCCTTTGGGGAAAGGGGCAGTAGACTAGCAACAGAAGCCTGGACCAGAGTTAAGCAGAACTGTGTCTGCTTCAATTCTACTTTGAGCGGACGCCTCACCACATATCTTACTCTTACCTGAATCCTAGGGTTTTCCATTTGGAGTTGCCAAAAAGAAATGACAAAGCAGGATGTTAATTTGCATATGCTAATATACTACATGCTAATATGGTATATTAATATAGCTGTAATATAATATAGATGCAAACTTAGAAATAATTGTTCCAATTTAATGAATAGAAACCCAGTATATTCCACCACAGTGTGGAAGGCTGCGACCAAGTAACTTGGATGCTATCTGTCAGTTTTGTCTCTGGGTGCTTTATTTTTAAGGTGGAATTGGGCAGGCCAGGCTTTCTTATGGAGGATGGCACTCTGTAAACAGAATACTGGCCACTTATATCCAAGGAGCTCAGCAGGTTCATGTGAGCTAGGTTTCACCAATGGTGCAGCACAGATAGTTCTGGGCCAAATAGTTGGTTTAGTTGAATCTACTCCTTTTCTCTACTTTAGTGTAAGCATATAAATTCCCAGCTGAGACTGGGACCATGGTACTTCCAAGAGAAAAGGATTTAAATTGCACACATCTGACTACAGTGGGAGGAGGTAAGAAAAGAAAGCAACACAAGGCTTTCCCCTTTTTCTTAATCCCCTGGGACGGAATTTGTCAGAAAACAGGTACAGGAGAGGTTAAAGCTCATTCTCATGAAACAACATAGTCCAGATTGGGAACATGCACACTTAAATGAACAGAAAGAAAAACAGAAGGCTCAGCTATACCACTGTGATTATTAGAATTCATTGTCCAACCAGTAGTGCCCTTTTTGGAATCCCATATTTCAATGTGGTTCCTCATAATAGAGTTGAATGGTTCTTATTCCCAGGTTGCAGTACAGAGAGACATTTCATGCACCGAATTGCAAGAGCATTAAGCAAAAATATGGCTCCTCATAAGATTTCTTCCTCCCCCTCTCCCTGCACAGCGATTACAAATTTTAGATTTTGCTTCTATGTTTAATGAATGCGGGCAGTTCACATCCTTAAATATCCTTATCCTTCATCCATCTTTCCTTGACATGCTGCATGATCCATCTCACAAGCTTTCTAATCTTTTCCATCTCTAATTGGATGCAAGAAAAGGTTATGGGGCTTTGTGAGAGTCTGTCCTCAGCCGCCTTTGAGCGTGTTTGGCTGTAGGGATTTGTTGCAGACAGCTACATGTGTCTGAGATGCTGAAATAGTTCACAGCCCTTCAACCCTGCCTGTGCTCTGCCTCCCCCTTCCACTCACCCGCCCCAGCACTGCTGCTGCCGAGACAAATTGAAATGTAGACCATGCTCAGCTCACCATTATTTAGCATCAGAAACAATGAGCGGAAGGAAGGAGACTTGTCCCAGTTACTTTGGTGGATTCAGCCGAATGGACATTAGAGTATGTTCCATCTGCCTCCTTTCAAGGGTGGTGCTTTCTTTGCATATGTTAACCTTAGCCAGGGTTCTGTGTGCTCAGCATCTTCAAGCAGATGAGTTTGGAAGGATGACCAAACAGGGCGCCTCAAGGATTCAAGTCAAAGAGCCACTGGGCTCATTTAGAAATCTTTATGAAAGGGAGGCTGTAAACATGGGGGTGGCAGCCCGCGGCCCTGGGGCCTTTTGTAGACCCTGCCACCCTGGGACCACCACATTCATTTACGGGGAATAATGGCTGTTTTGACACTATGGAGTGCCAAGACCAAGCGAAATTGACTCTTGTCGTGCACGGTAGTGCTTTGCTGCCAAACTTTTCAGGGCAAGCTGCCACTTTTTTTCTGCAGTGCCCTGCTGAGTGTGTGCTGCTTTGCGGAGTGCAGCCTGTTAGTGTGAGGAGCTCCAGGTGGGTTCTGGATAAGGTTGTTCAAGTGGGATTTACTATTGCTGATTATCAAAGGGAGAATTTCCGTACATTTCCGAATTGGCATCCTGTGATGAGAAAACCTGCAAGTGTTGAAATAGTCCATTTTCCACAACTGTTAAAGGCATACAAATTCTGACCTGCAATCTGTCAGTCAGAATTTACAGGTAAAATCAAGTTAATTACTTGCTTAACAAATAGGCAAGTGTGTCAGGGGGAGGAGCTGCAGCATGGTGGGGCCCTTGGATCACTCCCGGGTATAAGCACATGCATTCCCAGTTGAGACTGGGCATTGATCAGGAGAGAATCCTAATGGGTTCATCTTTCACCTTGCTTTCCCCAACAGCTGTCAAGGGGTGAGCTGTCAAGGGAAAGCAAATGTGTCCGGAATCTTTGCTTGTGAAAAGGGGATGGCCAGTTGATCATTCCCTTCGGGGTGAGATCCTCATTTCTTCTTTTCTTTTTTCCCCTGATAGTCCTCATGGAAATGCACATTCTGCACATTTTCCTAAGACACAGGCTGCTTGATAAAGTGCCTCCCAGCCCATTTTTCTGGGGAAGAGATTATTTTACTACTAACTAAAATCTGGATCCCCTTTAAAGGAAGATGGGTGGAGTTGACATGGCAGTGACACATATCTGT